AAAAAAACCCCCAGACCCTTGAAGCTTGGCATGTATATTAGGGAGACCCTAGGGATACATTCGTCAGGTTATTTGGATTTCCAAATACTTTAATTCTAATTACCATGCAGGGGCCCATGGGCTTGAAGCCTGCAGTACCACCTCCAGGCACTAGGCGGCCGACATTCTCTAACTGCATAGCTTTGCAGCTGGCAGGGTCTGAGCCAGGAGTGGGGAAGAGCCGTACCGCCCCCTTTCCCACTGCTGTGGGGCTCCCACTCACCCCAGGGCGCTCTGAGGAGTGCAACAGGCCAGCTGCCGTGCCCAGGAGCCCCTCGAAGCGGCTTCGCTCAGACAGGGCTAGGACAATGCGCGAAACCCCAACAGCTGCGTGACTTCGCTTTTATCCTGTTACGCTCTAGTCTTTCGAATATTTGCGTTAGTTCTCTGTATACAGAACCTGTTTACAAGGTCTGTTGGTCTTCTGACTGTTGAACCGTGGTTCCTGGGCAGATAAAAAATATATATAATAAAGGGATACTTGAAAGCTTCCTTCTGCCACAGCAAGGGCTGTTCCAGCCCGGGTGAGGATGGGTCTGCCTGCTAGCAGCAAACATCGTGCAGCTGCTAATGAGATGGTGGCCGGTGCTTTTCCCCGTGCCTCGGACTCCCGTGGCTGGCCTTTGCTCCAGAGTCATGCCATCCCTGCATGATTAAAGATGGCTCCATTCCCCACTTCGCCTCTCCCTGAACTTCCTTCTCGGCAGCATGAAATCACTCTGCCGCTGCCTCCTTTTGTTCTTTCTCCTCTGCCGCCCCATCCTGTTCTCCAGCCATTTTAATGCCCCTCTCCTCCTCCTCATTACCCCAACCGATGCCTTTTTGCAACTCACATCCCATTCTCCCTTCACTCCATCTCGTGCACTTTGGAAGCAGCGCTGGGGTCTCCCCGGTGCTGCGATCCAGACGTCAAGCCCTGCCCTTCATGCCTGCACAACCCCTGTTCAACACCACCAGCTGCGGAAAAACTGTACAAAGAAGAACCCAGAAAACTCTTTTCTCGACTTCTACACAAAGGGAAGATCGCTCCTATGCTGCCCCCACAATCGGCTTTTTTAACAACCCTTCAACCAATGTTGACGCACAGTCCCCATGCCTGTGCCCCCTGCCCCACAGGGTGCATCCAAAAATGCAGGCAGTGGTGCTGATCCAGAACAACAGACCAGCTCCGGCGGTTTGCATCTTCCAGGAGAAAGCACACGGGACTTAATTTCCATTCCAGGCCAATCCATCACAAAATACTCTGTATCACAGCAAGAAGCAACACACTTGGGGGTAAATCGGTTGCCTCCACAGCTACGCGGAGAGCTGCCAATGAGCTCAGAGGGACTGCGAAGCTGGCAAAGGGTGTCAGCATTGCTGCTAATACAGAAGTGCCAGCGCGGGGCCCCCGCAAGTCCTGCTTCTGCTCCCAACCCACATGAGAGGTCATCCCTTGCCTCAGCCTCCCATCCAACTTCTGCAGGGATCCATCACTCAGGCTGCTTCTTGATTGTTTCCTTAACTCCTTGGATGCTTATGACAGTCACTACAAACAATCCCCAGAGCTCTTTCAGTGGCAGCTTTCCCCAAACCCCAAAACTCCTTGAGGTTGCCTGAGACATCACGTTTGACTCCCAGGGCCCATGCCAGATTCAGGGGGGCCCGGGGCAAAGCATATTTTGGTGCCCTCCTCATCAGTGGGTTTCAGCAAGCATACCAAACTGTGATGGGAATGCCAGACAGCTGTGCCTACCAGGCATACTGGTAAATAACTAGTTCCCTTTGTAAGGTGACTTCCTTCATTTGGGATTCACTTTATAACAATCATTTCTTCTTTAAAAAATGTCCTTGTGAGAACTAATAATGAACACTTTGATTAACTTCATATTCCTCTTTTTTATTTACTTTTAGGGGCACAAAACCTGCCTCTGAGATTAACATACCTTTAGTTAAATATGCATTAAGGTATTTTTAAACATCTTTATTAATTCATACCATGTTACATAAAAATACCTTCAAAAAAACCACTGACACTGATTTAAATAGGACTGCTTCAGGAAGGAGAGGGGGCTGCTTCTACCACAGGGCAAGGACAGTGGCCTCCCTCACAATGGGGGTCTGTTCGGTGGGGCAGAATGAATCTACCAGGACATGCCCCTGAACAGACCCAAGAGCAACAAGCAGAACCTGCATAAGGGCACCAGGGAAGGCCCTGGCAGACTGTGCCCCCTTGCGGCCAGGATTTGGGCTTTCTCTGGTGGACACCAAAGGGCCAGGGGCAACTCCGCACAGAGAGCACCCTTGCCGCAGAGACAGGGCGGGATACTGTCCTCCCTGCAGCTCCATCATCCCTCCGACTTTGCCTTCCTTCTCCACGAGTTGGCATCAGGCTGCGGTGCCTTGAACTAGGGGGTCCATGGAACTTCTTGTGCGCCAGCCGCTGCAGAAGCCTGCCTGTTATGGTGCCGCAGTGGAAGGCCCTCAGTGCCTGGGGCCTCGGGCAACAGTGATGCACAGGAAGTAAAACCAGTCCCTGCTGCTTCTGGACTGGGGCCCATGCAACCCCTGGCGGTGCCACTGGCTACCCTCTCCAAGGAGCAGGTATCAGGTTCCACTAGTGGACAGGGGAAGCCAGAGCGGCTGTCGTCAACCACCCGTTCACCTTCGTGCCCCAGGAGAAGCTGGCGCCTACAGCAAAAGGCTACCGGCCCTTTAACAGCTGCACACAGGACTCAAGGGGTGGAATTCTCAGGACTTTCTGGGCTGGAGTACAAAACCGTGTCAGCTGCTGTGGGCCAGTGCTGGAGGAACATCTCAGCTCCCCTGAAGCTAACTCAGGTCCTGGCTTTGATCCAGCCATCTGTTGCACTCTGTGCCTCCTGACCTAAAGCAGACCACCGATTCCCCGACGGATGGAGTGGACCTTGCCAGAGGAGGGAGCTGGTGCGCCCTGCACGCCAGTGGCACCGCTGTGGGTGACCACAAGGTCGCTCGCCAGCTGCCAAGCCAAGCCTGACTCAAGTGGTCTGAGGAGCCAGTAGGGTCCCAACTGGCTCTATAAGGCCCCCACCCAGCGTATGTGACCTCAGCCTGAGGAACTTGCTCTTTTGCTGCAGCCAGACCTTAGAAAACTTGTCACTCACTCACTCAATCGCTCACAGCAGTGTGGACAAGCTGACCAAGAGTGCTGGGGGCTAGCAGGCTTGGAAGGAAAGGTGCAGTCCAAATAGGCCATGTGGTTGGTCAGTTTCTAAGGCAAAACCCAGAAGACACAGTAAAAACCAGTGTGGTGCACAGGTTAGAGTGCTGAACTGGGGCTTGGGAGGCCTGGGTTCTAGTCCCAACTTGGCCATGAAATTCAGCGGGTGCCTTGGGGCCAGTCACTGCCTCTCAGCTTAACCTACATCACAACGTTGTTGTGAGGATACAATGGCAAAGGAGTAGGGCCACATAACCAACCTTGGGTTCCTTTAAAAGGGAAAAGGTGGGGTATCAATGTAATAGAACAGAAGTGAAAGGGGAGGAAGAAGGGGAGGATGGGCAGGCAACCGGTCAGATACTGAAGAAAACATCCTAGAGCTATTTAATGCGGGCAAGCCCCCTACTGCCACTCCAGGTTGACCTGACCCCTCCTGGGGAGAAAAACTTGGCCAAATTGAAAGACTGCTCCTTCTTTTTCAGGATGCAAAGCCAACAGGAGAATCCCCAACCTGTCAACTCACAAGTCCAGCTCACTGAATTCAGGGCGACTTCTTTTATATTGTTATTTATTTTATATTGTTAATTTTATATAGTTATTTTTGTATTTTATTGCATTTTATTGTGTGTTGTGATCCACCCCAAGGCTTCGGCAAGGGGCGGCACAGAAATGTTTTAATAAATAAATAAATAAATAAATAAATAAATGTCTGCAGGCTCAAGTAGTTTCTACCAGCTGGTGCTAGTCTGCCTTAACCATTCTCTATTTCAATTGCTTTTTAGGAAAAAGTCAAGCACAAATAAGTGTGCAGAAGAGCTCCTAGCAAAGACCCTCAGGCACCTAGAGGCGAAGCCAGACCTACTTATGAATTATTACCCGGGGAGGCAGGCATTTAGAATGCAGAGATTCTGCTAATAACAGCAGAGCCAGAGATAACAGTAAGCAGTAAAGAATATTTCTGCTTCTTTGTTCAGTACCAGTTAACCACCAGTGCCACACACTGGTTCTTTTTAATGCTTCCTGTTTGTTCAGTTTGCCCACTGTATGGGCACCGTGCCAGCTGCCCCAGGCAGTCAACAGAGCTACACCATGCTCCCCCTTTGATCGTCTCAGTGCCAACAGATTAGCATATGCACACTCTCTTCCTCCCTTTTCTTCTGTTCATAACAGTCCACACTCCCTATGGGGATGTTCAAGGGGTCAATTGTGCCAGCACCCCAGCTGTCCCCTGGTGCCCACCTGTCCACCCCATTCCTTCTTTTGCATTTAGATTCTGAAAGTTCCCTGTCACCTGTAAGCAAAGACAGGTTGCTGGACACTTAAAAGATCTGAAATTCAGGTCCACAGGGTGCAAAGTAGTGTCAAGTCTGCATATGCAAATATATGGCTATCTGTGCAAAGGTAGAAATAAGATGAAGATTTCTTTAAATGTCACAGCAGGCAAAGCTGGCCAATTAACTTCTCCTCCAAATTATCTGAGATAAAATATGTTCTTCAATTAATTTGCACCCTGATTCAAATTATCCAAAACCAAAGGAAAGCAAGTATTTTCATCCCGAAACCTAATTGCTGTACAGGGAAAGACTGCAGCATGTGTGGAGAGTTAATCCTTTCTTCCCCCATGAGGCAATTAAGCTGAGGAGGAACCAAAAAACTTCCATTGGTATCAAGGGACATTCAGAATATATCTGGGGCCCTGGAAAATATTTTTGGGACCCTGGCATAATGCCACCGCTGCCTGTGCTTTCATCCAGGTGGTCTTCTGCGGAGCAACACTTACAGTGTGAAGACAGTCCTCGACCTTCAGGCGTTCCTCAATCAGTTCTGCCCACAGCGCATCAGGAATTTCCTACATATTATTATTCAAGGGAGAAGAGAAGAGAAATTGGGAGGATAAGGATCCACAGCACTGTTCAAACAAATATTTATACCTTCAGTATCTGAACAGAAAAATCCCAAATGACTGGAAGGATTAAATCCTTTCCAAAAATAACACAGAAAAGGTAGTGTACTTGGGTCAATTCCAACAATGGTGTGATGGGGACCCATTCTTTGGATGTTCTTGCATACACCCTCACTTGCTACAGGTTGTGCTAAGCCCTGCTGTCTCTGCTGACTGGGGCCCTGGACATTTACTCCAAAGTTCTGGAACTGCATGGGAAGGAAAAAGAAATTACTAGTCTTTGACAACCTCTGTTTTTTGTTTTGCTGACTGTTGTTCTTTGATGTACATAATTTGTAGGCATCCACAGCAATGGAAATAAAATGCACATATTTGAAAAATACAACTTCACATAGAGATCAGCAGAAGTGGACTAGATAACTATGGAATTATCCTTTTGAAGGTGGCTTCTATATGCCACCAGTTCAAACACTGTAAGGTCTTCAGTTCACTGTATTATAACCTCCTATTTTGAAGGCCTATCTCAGCTTTCCCCAACCTGATGCATTAGACTGCAACACCCATAATTCCCAGTGATGATGCCAGCTGGGAATTATGGGAATTACCAGCTAAAACATCTAGAGTTCCAATTTGGGGAAGGGCTGTCCTGTTGAATTGCAGTTTAAAGGTGAAGAAAATTAGGAAGCCATGCCCAGCTACAGGTCGCCAGTCAGCCTTCCACCCTCCTATGAGACACACTTCTATTTCAGTCATGATGATTCCTAAACATGCATCTGTACAGTTAAATTAATACATTCATATTTCAGACCAATGCCTGTCTCCCTTTTTGAGTGTGTGATGCATTTTCTAGTTTTGGTAATTCAAAAGTGGCCATCCTAATTTGACCAATCCAAACAATTAAAACATGCTCCGCTTTATAAGCTGGGGGGCTCCAGCCTCTGAATGAGCGATGTAAAGGACTTTTTAAAACCATCTTTGGATGGACTAAAAAGGAGACCCGATGGGCAATGTCCCGTCCCTATTTCCTTTGGCATTCTGAAGCCTCAGTCTGCACAAGCCAAGTCAGCCCCTCTGGATTAGGTCCTGTCTGGAGGTTATGAACTTCCTGGATCACATCCCTGACAGTGTCTTGAAAAGAATTTGAGCATTCAATGGAAGAAGGGCTGCCAAGAGGAATGGCAAATAGCATCTCTTCAAAGGAAACTGGACACAAACTGTCCAGAGAGCAAATGCAAGGCAGACAGGCAAGAGATGGACAAATTGACACAATTAGGCCTTTCCCAGGTCCCCAATGTCTCCGAGACTCAGTCCTCTCAAAGCAGCCATTCAGAAGGCAGATGCATTCACACAGGTAACAGGCGGAGGGGGGGGACGGGGATGGAAGGAGCTGGTGAGCTTCTTGGTAGCCCGCAGGTCCCACAGGGTGGTGCGTCAAAGCCTCCCGCAGCCTCTCGCGGCTGGAGCTGGATCCGCAGCTTTGAGGCTGTCATTTTACAAAGGTGCCTCATGCTGCTATCAGAAACAGCCAGCCTCCCTCTTCCCTCTTTGATGTGTCATTTCAAGAGCCGGAGAAAGGCTGCCAGGGGGTCCGCCCTGCTCAGGCTTGCAGATCCAATTTAAACTAGAGTGGTCCTCAGCAACTTGAACAGCGCCGGAATGGGCTTGCTTCCTTCCTTTTGACCGGAGTTTGTGGATAGGGAAAAAAAAGTCCAAGGGCTTTTTTAGAAAGGGGGCTGCGGAGGGGGACAAGGCTGTCAGGCAAAGCTGCTTCTTCAAAAAGCAGGGGCCCCATCGTAAGAAAGCTTCTCGCTCTTACACTTGCATGCAAGCTTTTTGCTGAGAAAACACAGGCAGATATTTGTCCTGAATGAATGCTGCCCACACAGCTCCAGACCATGTCCTGCCCTGAGGGCAACACTACCCGGCCTTCATAAAAACTCTCAGGTGCAGCTTCGTTGTGCCAGGAGAGCCATGCCCTGTCCTTCCTCCTCCCGCAAACGGAGCTCCGGCAAAGCCAGAGACGGCACCCGCAGAGGCCCTGGAGTGACTGCGCCCCCTTTTCCGAGGCAGCGGCACATGAGTGTTCCTCTTTCACCCTACGATATCTTGGCCCCAGCCAGACTCAGGCCCTGATGACACAGATGAGGGGGGAAGCTCAACAAGGAAGCTGTACCTGGAAAAAGTGACTGCACCAGGGATGCCCACGGGAGCCGCAGTGGAGCGGCAACAGCACCGACAGTTCCTCATGGGCCGCTTGCTGCCACTAATGCTGCTGGAAGCCCTCCGGGCACCTCAGCTGCCCCATGCGCCTGCCAGAGGGGCATGGATGGCTACAGAGTCAAAAACAGCCGGAAGGTGAGCACTTCCTGTCCTCTCCTCACCTGTGCACAGCACTTGTCCGCTGCTCTGCTCCATTGGGCCAGTGCAGTGGACAAGGGGCTGCCTGAGTCTGCACATCAGGGGTGCCAGAACTCGCCGTTGTGCATTACCAGTTCAAGCCACTGAGGGTTCTCTAGGTGACCAGACCCATTCCTCTGACCACAGCCTCTTTCTCTAACCTCCAGTCATTCAGCTGTGCGGTTCCCCCAACCCCCCGTCCCAGAAGAACTGCCCTAGCCGCTTGCCAGAAGACAGAGCAACCATCTGCTGAATCCTTGGGCCACTGATGCAGCTGGCCAAAAGGGATCATGTCGTGTAGCTCGGCATCTGTCGAGGAACACCAGAGGGCTCCATCTTTATCGACATTCCGTCTTTCTGTCAACAAACGGTGCTTAAGGCAGCTAACAATAAAATTCAGGGTAAAAACTAAATGTTAATTAAAATATAGCATGAAAAAACCCACATGTGCCCATGCCGCACACCACCAACAATAAATATAAGCACCCCATTAGCAACCAAGTTGAAACAAAGCCTTCAAGAACAGATCCGTGCCTGAACTGAGAACTCTTTGCCTTCAGGCAGAAGGACAAGAGAGAGGGCAAAGCCCTTGCTTCCCTCAGCAGGGAGTCCCAGGGCTGGGGGACAGCCGCTGGTGTGACCGCATCTCCCATCGCCGCCAGATGTGCCTCTGATGGCAGCTGTGTATATTCCCGTTCGACGGCCCTCCTGTGCGTGACTAGATCCTTTTGCAAAGGGCAAGCCATTCTCAACACTGCCCAGACTCACTCCTTGCCTCTCCAGCCTCCTCTATACCATTTTGGCCCACATGGCAGACTTCAGGACTAGCTTGAGCCCTGCCGTCACTTGCTTTTGGACTCCTGAAGGTGCAGTGCCCTTCTGCTTAGAAAACCAGGAGAATGTTCTTGTGTTTTTACCCAAAGTACTTTTCTATAATAACACCAGCAGATACGTAAAGTGCCAGGTCAATTCCATATCGCCACACACACACACCGCCTGATTTTTGCCAGGTCTCTTTGACTTTCATGTTCCACCCCATAATAATCAAGGAAATCCTACAGGGCACCCTTGAAAGTGCTGCTGATTAGCCTGGAATATGCTAATAATGAGAGTAATTAAACCGAGGGGGATTTGTGCATGTGTGTTGCTTTCTATTTTCTCCCTACAAATTAATTGTGGTTTTGCCAAGCAATTGAATAAAAATGATCTCCGATAAGAGGAACAAAGTTTAGAATCATAGCTCTTGTCAAGGCAAAATTAAAGGAGTCCAAGAGAAAAGCGATAGCAGGGGAGCTCTCCCTGCTGCAGCACAAGCACAGGGGCTGAACAGAAAGAAGCGCTGCACCAGCGACAGCCAACAGCAAGAAAGGGGGTTCAGACCCGGCACCTGCTCTTGTTCCCTCGACCCTCCATGGAGCATTCCTGGGGACCTGATCCAGAGAGCCCAGGTGCACCCTCCCTCCTCAAGTGGCGCACCGACAGAGGGAAGCGCGCATGCACACAGCTGTGCGTTGTACCTCCAGCTCCAGGCACCGCCTTGGACCTGTCATGGCTTCTGCTCCTGGAGCCCAAGCAGTGATCGTGGGGCATTCGGAAGAGCTGGGGGGAAGTGGGGCCAGGTGGGGGGTACCAAGCCCCCAGGCCGACTCATGGGCAAGGTACCTTCCAAGGCAGCCATGGGACTAAGCCCACAGAAGTTCAACAGCCACCGTTCTTTGGTTCAGCAGCCCATGTGTTCTTGCTGGCTGCAAGCTCCCGCTTGACTGCCAGTAGGGGCTTTTTTATTTTTGATGCATGGGAGAGCCACGCACAACAGTGGCGAGCGGAGGAAGCGACCTGTCCATCCTCTGCCAGCCTGCCCACTCACCTGTCCGGGATTTCTGGTGGCCTGCAGCGAACAGGAGAATGGGTAACCAAAGGCTGTTCCAGGCAGGAGCCTTGGAATACTTTTTAGAGTCTTTCTCCTCCACATGTGCTGAGGCTGGCAGTGGAGCTGGGAAGGACATCTCTGGTTCTGGGATGATCTGGAACTTGGGACGCATCAGCCATGACATTTTCCCCACCATACTTTTCAACTCATCTGTGGCCCCCCCACTTGCATCCAGATGTGACTCCCTACTTTTGGCCCCTGTCTACCAGGCGAGACCAAGTATTTGCCCCCTTAAGTTGGCGTTTGTTTGTTCATTCGTGCATTATATTTCTACATCACTCAATAGCCAAAGCTTCCTGGGCAGCTCATTAAATTAAAACCATAGAAAGCTACAGGCATGACAAAGCTCTTAGAAGTTTAAAACAGTGGCACAAAAGTGTTTGCGGTGTGAAGAACTAAAAATACAAGAACACATTTTAAAACAACAAAAACTGAAGGACTATTATTTATTTATTTATTATTTCGATTTATATCCTGCCTTTTTCCTACAAAGGGCTCAAGGCAGCTTACATCTCCTCCTCCATCTTATCCCTACAACAACAACCCTGTGAGGTGGGCTGGGCCGAGAGTCTGTGACTGGCCCAGAGTCACCCAGTTGGCTCCATGGCCCAGTGGGGACTCGAACCCGGATCGCCTGAGTCCCAGGCCCATGCTCTTGCCCACTGCGCCACACTGGCTCACACTGGACTAAAATGCCTAGGGATGTGTAAAGGGCTCTGCGCAGTCCTGAAAAAATCATGGTGCGCATGCCAGGTAAGTCTTTCTTGGAAGAACGTTCCTCAACCAGAATGCCACCACCGAAAAGGCCCTGTTCTTGGCAGCCACCTATCTCACTCCATTCAATGGGGACACCCCGAGGAATGTGCCTGGAGGTGAACTTAGGGCCTGGGCTGGAACATATGCAAGGAAACAATCCCTCAGGTAGCCTGGCCACAAGCCATATAGGGCTCTGTAATGCCAACACGTAGCATTACAGACAGAAATGGTCTGAAGACAGTGCAGATCACGTTATTTTAATGATGGCCCTCCTTAATTCAATGCTACAGGCTGTCGGTTCAAAAGTGAAACACGTATTCTCAGCTCAGAACACGAAAGCTCTTTTCTGCCAGCTCTTCCCCAGCGAGGGAGCCCACCTGGCATGGATTCTGCAAGCCTGTGCAGGAACCGCTGTCGATCCAAACCCACTGCAATAATTGGATTGCTCACCGGGCATCTGCCACAATTTATCTTCCCCTTCCTCGCTGAGATGGCACGGTTACCCCTGCCGACGTACCTGTTGGCTCTCTCGGTACTCCTGCGCTTTGGCTGCCAAGGCTGACCATTCAGTGGTTAACAAAGTCTCTTGAGAGATCCGAGGGATCACCAATTGTTTGCAAAGCCACATGGCCTGCAAAGGGGAGCAGGAGGAGGGAAAGAGAGGGAGAGAAGGGATAAGAGAGAATGATGTATTTTCAAAGGAAAAGAAAGCACATTTGAGGAAGAGAAAAACATCCCAGCTTCTTCAGAGTTCTCAGTTTGAGTGTGCAGTTCATAATCCTCAGTAGCAGAGAGAAAAATCATTACCAGATACTTAAAGAGGGGATATAGCAGCCATTCTTAAATTCATCACAATGGAAAACTGGAATGCTTCCATTTATGGCATCACTTAAAAAATTATAGGCCCCCTCCTGTGTAATGTAAGAGACTATCAAGCCCATGCATTCAAAAGCACCCAAACCAGCTATTGTTCCTTTTTGACAAAGTTTATTTGCTGCGAGCTGCCTGGGGACTCTTTTAGTAACCTGATAGGTGGGATACAAATCATTGGCTAATTAAAGGTTATGTAGTCTGAGGTAGGGTTGGAAGGCATTAATGTTTCAGGGCTGCTTTATTCATCATCATAATCTTTTCTGCCTTACCACCACCTTCTCCCGCCTGGTTCCCGCCTGATGTGTGAACTGGTGCTGTTGGGTGTTTTAGTCTAACACACTGGGAAGGGACCAGGCCAGGGAAGGGATCCAGTGTTTTTACAGACATTTTCTCAGCAATACAGCCCCATACAGCAGGGTGGCATGAAGCTGCAGAGGTGATGCATGAGGATCTTGCTCACAGTGGTTTCTTGCTCAAGGCAAAAGAAGCAGCAGCAGCAGCAAAGTCTTTGCCTGAAAATTCGAGGTCTTCGTTTCTAGGCTAGCTCAGTGTCAGCAGCTCTAGTGGGGCTTGAACTGGGCATTGCAAAGTCTGGTCCTGCAGCCTGGCATAGCAAGCTACCTGTGATAATTTGTGCTGATCAGTGCTCGATATCCTTTTCAAGAAGAGCACGGGAGGGAGGCTGTGGGAAGGGGAAGGGGAAGGGGTGGATGGTGGCTCAGTGGCACAGCTGCATACAGAAGGTGCTCAGTTGGAACCCTGGCAACATCTCCAGGCAGAGCTGGAAAAGCTCCTGCCTAAAACCCTGGAGGGAGCACTCAGTGCTGACCAAACTGGGCTAGAAGTACCAATAGTTGTGTGCTGTTCCTCCAGGGTTGATCAAAAGATGAGCATTTTGATTAGCTCTAAAATTAAGTAATTCTAGACTAGGTATCCTTAAGCAACAGTTCTATTTGCAAAATGTAAACGGACAGCAACAGCACTTACAATAGTCGTTTTTCCAGAGGCTGGAGGACCAAGTATAAGGATCCTTGGAACTGCAGATCAAAGGAAAAACACAAACATCTTTGCATTATGTGGTATAATTCCACACTGAACTACACAGCACACCATCTGCTCTTTCCCTCCCACCCCAGACCCTATGACTAGTGTTTTTTCTTGAAATATCATTCATACATCAGTGAGAAGAGATCCAGATTGAAAGACGTGATCTCAGTGCTGCTGGGGTGGGGCAGGGAAGTGAGAAATGCTGCATTCTGTGTCTGAAGCAGAGATAGTCAAGTTATTTTTAAGAAACAGTGGTAAATTCCTCTTTCCCTTTGTGAATGCTCCCCACATATCCCAGAATGCTAGGAAGTGAGAGGGGTGACACCCAATATGGCAAAGCCACTGCAACTATTTGTTCACTCCTCTGTGCAGCTCATATGCAAAGAGCTGAGGAGAGGTAGGAAAGGGCAACCCTAATAACTAGGAGGCTGGAGGAAGTCTCCTACCAGGAAAGGCTCCAACGCCAGGGGCTTTTCAAGTTATAACAAAGGCAAGGGAGGGGAGACATGCTAAAGATGCACCAAATTATGCACGGTGTGGAGAGCGCGAAGAGGAAGGGTGTTCAGCCCCCTCTGAACCCAGTGGAGTCATCCCATGGAGATGAGCGGTGAAAGATCCAGGGAAGATCAAAGATTCACACAGTACAGAGTTAAACTATGGAATTCACTTCCATTAAGATGTAGCAATGGACACCAATTTGGACAGCTTGAAAAAGGGGTTGGAGGAAAAGGCTATTGATGGCTACTAATCCTTACGGCTATGTACTTCCTCCAGGATCAGAAGCGGGATAGGCTGGGAAACAGAGGCAAGATGGTGCCGCGGCATTCATGTCCTGCTCATGAGTCCCTGTATGGCCTCCGAGCCCAGACACAACATGGCCCAGCTTCCCCTACAGGGAGGGATACAACACGTCCCTGTGCACAGACACAGTGGCATCGCAGCCCTTCTGGATCACTGCACAAGGCAGCGGCCACACACTGGCCTCTCCTACAACGGGCATTTTGCTCATCAAGAAAGATGACACCTCCGTTTCTCTTTCCTCTCACGTCGTCTTGACTTGAGACCAGCTACCTCCCGGGCAGAACCGGAAAGATGAGACATTGTGCACATTTTTGAGGTTGCTTCAGGAGCAGACAGTAAAACTTTTCCCCCAGTCCCTAGAGAAAAACAAGTTACTCTGCGTTTTCCTCAGTCCTTTTGTCTGGTGCCCTCTTTTCCCCCTGGCCGGCATTAATATCCAATTCTCCCTGCTCTTGTTGTGTGCGTGTGCGTATGTGTGTGTCTGGCCCACCTCCTTTTGGTTGGGAGCAAGATTAAAGGCAAAGGGGATTAAAAAAGAACAAGAAAACCCAGCACACCAGCCGCCTTCCCCCTCGGTGCGAGCATGTCCCTGCGTCTTCTCCGCTACATGGACGTGTGTAGAGTTTTAATGCATTATTCTGTCTTGAGCACCATAGCCGTTTTAATGATTTAAATACGGGAGAGAAGGGCCTTGGCGCAGTGAATCTACAGTCTAGCCAATGCGGATTACACAAATAATGATTTAATTAAGGGGATAATTTAATCAGGGGGAGACCAAACCAAAAAGGAAAGGGGAGACAAATATTGGGAAAGCACTGAGCTGAGATTTAGCCACAGCGTTTCAGACGACAGTATTTGCGATTCTACTGCAGGAGCAAGCACCTCTGTCTGGGAAAGGCTACGGAGTAGCTATTGGTATAATCCACTCTTTCCCAAACTCCTGAGAACCACACCAAGTATTACTTCCAAATTAAAATTGGAGGCACAAAACCGATGCTTCACGCGCTGAGGATTTCGCTTTAGCAGCATGAAAGAAACAAGAATACCTGCCTTCAGAGAAGCTGGCGCATGTGTACACAAGTGGACATGCAGGCACTTTGCATTTCTCCGTGCATCACTGTTCTGAGTGTGCCTGTCAAGAAAAGGGGAGGCAAGCGAAGACACACAGAGACTTGCCAAGCAGCCTCCTCTGAGACTGGGTAGTTCTGAGGTGTCGCCACTCAGGAGGGGACAAACGTTCTGCTTGCACCTGACGCAGGAAAGCTACAGATGTGCGCAGATCCACATTCACACCCTGTAGCACAAGGACCGGCAAAGCATAGCCTGCTGGAAGCTCCTGGTCCCACCCTGGCCTTTCCCGCAACCCCTGCCACCTCAAGAGCTGCTGCCACCACCAGATTTCAGCAGCACAGAGACCAGGAAAAAGGCTTCTTCACTTTAGAACAAGGCACACAGGGACCACATGCCCTGCTTTCATGCAAAGCCATTCTCCCCTGGGGCTCCTGGGAGATGGATTAGGCATTAACACCCCCCAGCTCCCCCTGCACCTGTTTTAAAGATAAAGGGGGGCCTTTTCACTGCTATCAAATTCAGTAGAGGGTACAGTTCATGGTGGGTGATAAGGGTGGCAAATTGGCCCCAGACTCCCGGAAGTTGCCCAGGCCTGTTCAAAGGAAGTAAGACACTAGTAAATCATGCAGAGATGCAGTTGGCACCTCCTCTAAGAACAGACAGAGGATTCTCCTCTCAGAACCCAGGGGACTTTCATGATTTAACAGAATGCACGCTGTGCTTCCTCTTTGTAACACAGCAGGTGGGATGGGCCAGAGGTGCATCCTATATTTATCAGATTCAGGATCCTGCCTTGGCTAGCCACTCCTCTCCTTTATCACAAAGAAAACATCCGTTGAGCAGGTGCCATATCAGGCCAGGTGAGTGGCCAACATCACTGCCAAGGCCAGTCACCTGTCTCAACACTACCACTTCTACCTGGCAATGCACAAGTAATCAAGCAGCACTGGCAAGAAGCTATGCTAGGTCTGGGGGGGGGGGGGACCAGCCGCCTGCAAAGTCCCCTGTGCCACCTCCCCACAAGGAAGAGATTCAGGGAAGGGGCTGCACTCACCTCCCTCAATGAAGGGATGCAGAAAGGTGCCCCCCCCCAGCACCCACCATCCTTCCCAAGGCATGTCAGCACTTCACTCACAATGCACTTGAGGGGGCTGTTCCACACACAATTGGAGAATGACTGTGAATAGCAACACGGTGGTCCCATGTGCAGGGAAATGAGAAAACTGTAGGCTCATCCGTAAATGCTAACAGTTAGGGGGCAGTTTTACCACAAGAGTGGGTGTGACGTGCCTGCCTTGGCTGTCACGGTGTGGGTGGGTGGCAGTAAGGATCATCAGAATGGGAGGCAAACCAACTGGGTGCACAGGGCTGAGTACAGCAGCGCCTTGGGGCAGCTCCCATTCATTCCCATTCATAGGGCCTGGGCTGGAGAACACCCCAGGAGATGATGATCCAGAGCCAAATAGGGAAAGGAAGGGGCATTTAAACTTCCCAGCTCAGGCACCAAAATTCTTTGTGCCAGTGAAGGCACTAGTTATGACTGGGCCAGAAAATAATCAATTACATGCTTGAAATCGATAATCAAGCCTGCATTGCAATTACACAGCTTGCATTTTTATGGGAAGAAAGCTAGTTTTGCAATGTAACCCCAGTTACACATTTGGCCCTGCCCTCTTGCCGTCTCTGCTCCCCCAAACCTTTGCACCCTCTGAAATCTAGGACTGGGACTCCTACTGATTTTGCACTGACATTTGGGGCTGAGAACGTTCCTTCCCAGCACTGTACTTTGCGCATCTGAGCAGTATGGCAGCTGGCCACCTGAAGTCCCCTGTTGCAGCTCATTTGCCCTCCACCTGCACATCTTTTCCGACCGTGCCCTGATCTGGATATTCATTTGAGTCACCATTTCTGGCCAACCCAAATATAAAATTTAAAAAAGACCATCCTTTCCATATCACGCTTTCTAAAAGTAAGCGCTGCTGTCTGATCTTCCCAAAAAACCAAGGGTGAGGAAAGCACTCCCCACTCCCCGCCCCGCAAATCTTTGCAACCCCTTTCAGGACAGTGCTGGGCAGCTTGCAATTTTTAAATCATGTATGAACAAATTCATTTTTATAAAGGTATTTGACTTGGGTGGTTTAAAAAAGTACTCTTGCATTTATTGGCTCTTGTAAGTTTGACAGACAAGGCTACAAAATCTTGGGAAAATAATACTTTTAAAAAGATAGTATCAAGCTGTTTTTATCACCTAATTTCTTTCAAAATGTGCCATGATTAAAATGTACAGGGTTTTTTTTCTTTTTTTCTTTTATCCCCCCCCCCTTTTTTTTTATTTTTTTATAAGCTTAACACCTTGAAACTCCAGCCTGGTAGTGAGGAATTATTTATAAACAGAGCCATCGAAATGTGCTCTGGTGCCAACCCTAATCAACTTCTTCAACCCGCTTCAAAGCAAAATAAAAAACCCCTTAAAAAAGAGCCTTTCTATCTACAGATCCTTTTGAGGTTTAAGTAGGAGCACAATTTAAAATTCACAAGAAAACCCCGAGGTACTGAAGCTTTAATACACAGCTTTCTTGGACAAACGTTTGATAAAAAACGAAACGTACCATTATACACACCATATCAGGCTTTAATATTGCCCAGGGCTACTGTAAATGCTCACTTTGTACTAAATCTGGTTTTCCTTCTGCTTAGGAGTTGGCAGCCGACATGGCAAGGCAGAACACGCCGATTTACTCATTTGCACGCCAGTAAGAATCTTCTCCCACTCGGTCCCTAAGCATATGACATGGTGGGGGAAAGCATTTCCAAGGCAACCTTGTATGTACTGCTTAACCCTTCCAGTATGCAGACAGCTCCCATCCGAAAGCCAAAGACCACAATTCAACAGACTGAAATGGTCCAAATCCATTTTGGGGGACTTAAAAAAACTTGACTCCTTGCTGGACTGTGGCTAAGGAATGAACCAGCCACTGAGTGCTACAGCTGTGCAACTTCCATTTCCAAAAGAAAAAACTGAGCATGAAAAGAGGGTCAGGAATGTTCCTTCCAAATTTTCTGTTACCTGCAGAGATGAAATATCCTAAAAAGGCAAGCAATGTCCAACCAGTAGGCA